TTTATTAAAAATGTTATAAATGAATTTTTCAACAGCAAGTAAAGGAGATGTACAGAGGAGTTTGGATACTGCCCTACAAGATGTCACGGATAGGTACCTACTTTTAGAAGAGACTGAAAAACAAGCCGTGAGAAAGGCTCTGATTGAGGAAAGAAGCCATTATTGCCTTTTTGTGGCTTGTTTAAAACCAGTTGTTGTAAGTAATTTATGTATTAAAATACTTATATATAGCAATACATCATTATTACTTTTTCATAAAATATTTTAAGGACTACATATTTATAACATAATATTTTGAGGAAGATCATAATTTCAATGTCAAGATTTGAACTAGCAAATAATCAATGACTATTACATTCATAAAAAAAATATAACTTTTAATACTGTTCTATTTGATAGTTTTAATATTATTTCATAATCAGGAATATATAATTAACATTAATAATGGTTTTAATTAATAATAACTATTAACAAGAGTATTCTTATCGAGTATATCTTTTCTCGACAATGGCTTACACATTAGTTAGAGAATAAATTGTACATAAAATGTTGTCCTTATACCATAAGATTTGATTTTATAAAGACAATGTTTTTTTACTTCTAATTTAAAATTTTTGTTAACATCACACTTTACCACATTTTGCTTTAAAATATTGTTGAGTTTTGTGGTACATATTTATTTCAAGATGCATATATATCAATCTTATATAATAGAAATGAAAAACAAAAACAGGAAGCAGAAAATTATCTCAAAAGTAATTTTAAACTTAGAATTTTATCTTCTTTAGTAACTAAATTTATGTACAGTAAAAGTATCTAATTCAATAATTGGAGAATCGTTGTTATTAATTTATATTAAAGCAGATTATTTTTTTAAAAATCTTAAACATCATGTATAACTTAGTTTTTAAATTTTTTGTTTATTTTATACTTATATATGAATATTATTCATTTGCAATTCCTTAAGTTTTAAATTTATATATGTTTTATACACTCTTTTTACTCTGTGGGCATTTGTATAATGCACATCCTTGAGCATCTAGCTGGTGCATTGGCAAAGTGATATGGCCCAGATCACTCATGAAAAATTGAGAATTCAATCTACATTTTTCAGAATAGCAGATAGTCAATTTTTTTCCATTTCAGCCATCCAAATCAGCTGAGTTTATAATTCAGTTTCATGTAAATATTTTATTTATTAATTAATATAAATTTATAAGGATTTAGTTTTGATGAATAATTCCATAGAATCACAAAAAATAAAGTAATTTTAATAAAAGTTTTAATAGTTATTGATTTAATAATATCATTTTTTATAAAAAACATTTATAATATTTGCTCTCTGTCTGTGCAATCAATTTTTAATTTTAATTATTTTATATAAAATTTATTTATTTTCTAATAAGTTATTTCATAGTATTTTTTAAGTTACCTGACTTTTATTTATTAAATTTAATCTTCTACATAAACAAACTATGATTATTTATTATTCTGAATTTAATTAAAACTTGTTTCATATAATCATCATCTACTTACTCTGGTAACTTTCACATAATGCTTCTCTGTTAATAAAGTTGTTTTTGATGAACTCTCCATCAAAAATAACTTACTTGAATAATGTATGGTGAATAAGATGCAAATAAGTTTTCAAAGAAGTCAAACTATTTTAATATTCCAAATGTTAAATATAAAATAAATGTAAATGTTAGAAATATCTGAGAAAAATATATGTATTAAGCTAATATTGAAGAAAATGACAAATGATATTTTGATTTTTACTGACAAATAAATATGGAGTATTGATTAAAAATAAGTGAATAACACAAAAGATAAAATATTGAAATAGTGGACTTATTCAGATGTAATGAATTTTGCGATCTAGTGTAGATAAGTAGTATCTATAAATCTGACAATCAAATACAATTGGAATGGTCACAACTGAATATGACCTTGTAAACAATATTGTTAGGTTGATATATGATTTAATCAAAAATAATGTATAGTTAAATATTAATAAATGATAATAGTTTAATTTTATTAAACAAAAAGTTTTCATACAAAAGTTAGTTTTATAATGTGATTCTAAAGCAATAGCATACATTAAGATAGCATAATATAACAGCTATTTCTTACTGAATTAAAACTATAGTATACTTTATTTTTCTGCTGTTCTAGTATTGTTTTTGCACATATATTTTTTTCCTAAAGAGTAAATAATATATTTCTCAAGAAGAAAGTGTAATTTCTGTTATTTTTTTCTTTATCAGTTTTTTTTAATTTTTCTGAATAAATATTCCTTTAAAGAAAAGTGAAAGAAATTGTTAATAGAATATTTTATTTATCATATTTGTTTCTTCTGATATTTCAATACTTCTCCAATCTCTTTCAAGCTTTTTCTTACAGCAGACATAACTTGAAATATGTTATAAATAAATTTATGATAAATACTTAATAATACTTTAATTATTAATCATTTCAAAATATATAATTATATTAACTTATTAACATTATTACATTTAATAAATAGTAGAAGGTTTAGTTTTACCAAAGCATGTTTGACCAAAATATTAAGTAATAAAAATTTTAAAACAACATTTAAATACCGACTTAGATTTAGTAGCTTCACTTTATCATTAATTCAACTAAAGTATTTGTATTAAAAAGAAAATAACATCAGTTGTTTTGATATTAAATTGTGTAAACAATAAGTTTTTATTTAAATATATATTAAATAAAATAAGATGATTTTTTTTTCTTGTTTGATTAAAATATGCCATATGAGTTTTGAAAAATAATTTCTTTGTTGAATTTAGGATTCAGAATTGGCCTTGTTCCATGAAGTTACTCATTTGCAAGAGATAGTTGATGCCTTGACAAAACTAACTGAAGATCCTCAGTCACTTCCTTCAGCAAGTGAACAAGTTATTAGTGATATAAAAGGATCTGATAGTGGATGGTCATTCCATGTAAGTATTTATTGAATAAGTTATTATTTATACAAATTATTAAATATTTTATGTTTGGTAAGCTATGAATTGATAACTTCTCTTCTCATTTAACCATTCTCTTCAGTTTAAATTTTTAAAGTTTAGATTGCAGAGATTTATGTCTATTTTTAAGTCTGTCTATTTTTATGTCATTGAAGAAGCTGAAAATAAATTTTAAATTTTATTTCAACTGAAATAGTAATTGAATCACTTTTAATATTTTGATTAATTTAGTAAATAAAAAGATTATAATTTTAGTATTTTACTAAATTCTTGAAGCTTATGAAAATATTTTTGAAAACAAATTATTAAAATTTTCATAGAGGTATGACAATTTTAAAATTTAATTTCCTCCTAATCAGTATAGTTTAATGCATTCATTTTAGCTGATGATCAATTTTTCTTTTCAATAGACACCTCCAAGTTCACCAACTTCTCTTGGATCAAGAAAATCAAGTATGTGCAGTATTAGCAGTTTAAATAGTTCATCTAGTGGCAGTACTAAATCACATTCTCCATCTCATCACTCACGTTGTCGTTCTCTTTCTCAGGTGATTTTTATCATTTTGTAATTATTATTTATAGTTTTATTTTTTTTGGCTGTTGTTGTAAATAATAATCAATTTGAATTCTTTTATTTGATTATTCAAAGTTTTCTTATATGTATAATTTATTTTTTGTATAGTGATTCCATGTGTAAAACAAAAGGTTTTTACTAATTGAATTTGGATTTTATCTTGGCAATTAACTTAAAACTATATAAAATCAAGTGTATTTTATATAATTTGCATAATCTCCAATAGAACTTAATAATTTGACAATTAAAATTAGTAATATTCATTGTTTTACTTTTCAATTTTCTACACTTAAATGTTAAATTGTAAAATTTAAAAAAAAAACAAATTTTATGGTATCAATGATATTTTTTCACAATGATTATTCATACTTGGAATAATTTAATGTTATGTTAAGTATATTAAAAATTTTATGCTAATTTAAATAAATAAAAATAAATTTGAATGAAACTATTATAGCTATTTATCTGAGTTTTAGCAAGTATATAATTAAATAATGTCATGTTTTTAATTGTGATAAATTTTAGAAACATAATGTTTAATAACAGTTTCTCTCTAAATTATAAGTTTAAGAATCATTGTGATAATTATTAGAATTTTATTTTAATAATATGACTAGGTTGGTCTATGCACCATCCAAAGAATGTTTAGGGGACTACTTACAAGAGAATACATGTAAGAGCACTGAGTGCACCTTACATTTATTCTTTTGTATGTTGTAGCACACAAAGTATAATCAAAAAATGTATGCATTGGACTTGCATGTATTTGGTATTGGGTTGCCTTTGTGATGATAATACAAGCTTTCTTACTCTTATTTTATTTCATAAAGGGTGTTTGAAAATAAGATTTGTAATTGCCATATTGAATTTACAGCAGCTGTAACGATACAACATTATTGCTTTTGTTCAGTTAATATGAACATACTCAGAAAAATGTGAAAAATTACAATAATATGTTAATGTCTTTGGTATAGTAATGAATAATGGGCTTAAGTGAAAATGAGACAAAAAAGTCATAATTATGTAGTCATTTAACAGCTTTTTATTATTTTTATTTGTATAGTCACATCAAAATCACACAAGAATGTTGAATATCAATATTAGATATATTCTTTAGGACCAATACATTATTATAAATAGTTTCTATAATAAATACTTTATTTTCATTGATAGCAACCTCCAGCGGGTGCCTTACGTCTTTCCAGTGTCTCATCTCAAGATTCTGGCTTCACTTCACAAGACACATTGTGCATACGTTTACCAACTCCACCACCAATGGAACTAACTAATCAGGTATAAAGTAAATATAAAAGCATAGAAATTAACATGCCTTCAAGTAAATACTATATTTCATTTTTTAAATTTTAAGGTTCCAAATCTTTCTGAGTTTAATAGCAATGCTACTGGAGTCGTAAGCACAACAGGTACTCCAGCATCACCTTATCCTCCTGCACCATGTGTTACTGCTACTTGGCCAAATCTTCAGGATACTCTACAGTTTGAAAGGGCAGCTGCTTCCATTTTAAAAAGTCAAAGACCACATACTATTTCTTCTGGTGATTATTGTTAATAATTAAAAATGTTATAACTTCTAAATAATTTTAATAATAAAAGAAAAACTTTTTCCTGACAATAATAATAATAATAATTTTATTTACCAAGTGCTTTTGTAAGTTAATTAAGGAATTAACTGGGAAGTTCTTTCAGAATCATAATTTTTTATGCTTAAAAATATAGTTTGAGTATTTGATAAATATAATAAAAATATAAATCTTTAGTAGTTATTATTCTTTTTAGATAATTATTTTATATGTATATATATGTATGTCTTGTAGCTTATGAACGTGCAGGACATAATAGACCAGCACTCACAGCTCAGACATTCCAGCCACTTAATCAAGAACTTCAGCAAGGCCCAAGTGGAATGGTTGAAACTTCTGACAATCTGACTTCCACATCTGAAGATAGTTCCTTTGAACATTCTCCTGAAGATGACCAGGAACACGATGATTCTGACAATATGATTGCTCCAAACAGAGATTTACCACCAATTCCGACAAACCCTCCATTGCCAGATAGGTAACTTAAAAGAAGCTTAATGATTCTTAAGTTGACTATTGTAAAAACATAGTTTAATTTACTTAAAAAATTTTCTTTATCTTCATAAAGGAATATGGAGCCAGACAAACCAAATTTACCAGAGAAACCTCAGTTTATCAAATCGAGATATTCTAAGGGAATCTCTCATCTCGAATCATTTGTGGCCGACATAAGTAAAGCTATTGTAATGTCAGGTAATATATAATTTAGAAAATAAAATTTAAAAAGTAATTTTTATTATAAATTTCACGTATTGGAATTTATCTGCAGATGATCCACCAGTTTATGCAAATCTGAATGAACTAATACCTACGAGTTCAGTAGCTGATTCGTTTCCTCCCCCTCCTGTTTTGTCAAGTGAAGATGTGTATGATAAAGTAATACAAATAATTTGTTTTAACAGTTTACAGTACTAACATAAGTTGAAATTTCCTGCATTATTATATTTATGACTATTTAAAAATAATTATTTGATTTAAAAATTAAATTGAATATAATTTTAAAAAATATATATTTGTGAAACAATGATTATAGGAGCATAAACTAATTTTTATTATACAGAGACATACTGTAAGTAAACAGACACCCTTATTTTCAGACACTGTTTTTTATTTCACAGTATCATATGATACAAATGCACTTAGAATATTAAAAGTACAAAAATGTAATCCAGTCAGGCTTGGAATTAATGAGTTTTGTTACCCTCACTTGTAGAGTGTTGGCCCACTCAGCATGCAGTCTAAAAATTCTCCGTAGAAAGTTGGTTTTCACTGCACGATCCAGCAGATTCCAGACATGTTCAACAGGATTTACGTTGGGTGGGTGACTGGCCGATGGAAGCTTGCAGATGTCTTGTGTTTCCAGCCAATTTCTGGTGTTTTTGGCAGTGTGACAATGAGCTCCATTGTTTGTGAACAGAGTGGATGTTTTGTTCATCAGCCCACTGGAGATTATTGGAAGACTACTCTTCAATATGGCAATGTATTTATTGGTATAAATATTGTCTCATGCATTTGCTGACGTTTAGAGTGTCTGTTTACTAATGGGTTGTCTCCGTATATTATTTTGTCTCTGTATACAGTCTAATAATTATTTATTTTTAAATGCTTATATCTGTTTTNATTCAATGTTTCATTGATATTGTAATATAGAATGACACTACACTTATTAATATAATATATTTAATAATATATCAAGATTTTCACTCTTTTTATAATGATGCTTCATATAATTTAACATTATAAATAGGTGACTCATCTATCTATATTACTGAGTTATCTGAATCATTGAATAACTTATTAGCCAAAACTTGTTTGTTTATTTTAATTAAATGCAATGCCACATACTTTTGTGACTACAGGCACTTCCTTAAATGACGATTCCATTAAAAAAAGTGAATAACACAAATATTTTGCCTAAAGCAAGAGTTGTATACACAATATAGTGATCAGAAACTGGTCCCTGTGTTACAGTTTGATAGATTTACAAGGAATATACTGTAACAATACAGTGTTGTTCTTTGTAACTCATTAAAAATCTTGGCAAATTATTAAATAAATCACTTTTATTATAAGATAATATAATAATCAGCAAATAAGATGAATTGCTAATCAACGATACGATCATTCAGTAGAAACATAATCAAATGATCGCCTTAAATAATTGGGCTGTATGATTAATACTAAGTAATTTGCTACTAGAGGTAGATGTTAGGTGCCATCTCTTAACCAAATTAATAATTATAACTATAATAATTTATTAAATAATTTAGAATCATCTAGAAGAAAAGAACTGGGGAAGAATTTTGAAACTGTCTGTTAGGATGTGAAATGCTAGTTAAAAACTCTAAAGAAATTTAAAGAACTTTTATGAATTATTTAGAACATTGATATTTAGAAAATTTGAAGGCAAAAAGTTTCTTAAAGCATTTGTTTCCAGTAATTCTAAAATATGTCAAAATTTTTGTGTATGATTTGCATGCAAGGCAAAGATTTTAGTGATTTAATGATATTAATAAAAATACAATAATTGTTTTGTAGCATTTCTTAGTGTAGTATTTAAATTGAGTTTTTAATGAGTATTTAATTAAATCAAATAACTTAATTTTATTATTTTGTTTTTAGAATATAAAAGAGTACGACAAGACATTAAAAAGAAATCGTCTGACACCTTACGGTTGCAAAAGAAAGTTCGAAAAGGTAATTTTTATTTAATTAAATTTAGAAAGAAATTAATGTTTTAATAAGTCAAAGAATAGATTTACTGATATAACTTTATTTTTATTGTATATCTAAATTACTCTTATCAGATTATTAAAAAGTAATTAAGAAATTAGAAATTATCATAATTAATATTACAATCTCCAATTATAATTGAGTTTATTTATTTAAAATCTTTTAATGAGCGTCATTAGGATTAGAAATTATCATTTATTAGTTCTTATTATTTAAATTAGATTATTATTTTTTATTATTTATTAAAAATGTTATAAATGAATTTTTCAACAGCAAGTAAAGGAGATGTACAGAGGAGTTTGGATACTGCCCTACAAGATGTCACGGATAGGTACCTACTTTTAGAAGAGACTGAAAAACAAGCCGTGAGAAAGGCTCTGATTGAGGAAAGAAGCCATTATTGCCTTTTTGTGGCTTGTTTAAAACCAGTTGTTGTAAGTAATTTATGTATTAAAATACTTATATATAGCAATACATCATTATTACTTTTTCATAAAATATTTTAAGGACTACATATTTATAACATAATATTTTGAGGAAGATCATAATTTCAATGTCAAGATTTGAACTAGCAAATAATCAATGACTATTACATTCATAAAAAAAATATAACTTTTAATACTGTTCTATTTGATAGTTTTAATATTATTTCATAATCAGGAATATATAATTAACATTAATAATGGTTTTAATTAATAATAACTATTAACAAGAGTATTCTTATCGAGTATATCTTTTCTCGACAATGGCTTACACATTAGTTAGAGAATAAATTGTACATAAAATGTTGTCCTTATACCATAAGATTTGATTTTATAAAGACAATGTTTTTTTACTTCTAATTTAAAATTTTTGTTAACATCACACTTTACCACATTTTGCTTTAAAATATTGTTGAGTTTTGTGGTACATATTTATTTCAAGATGCATATATATCAATCTTATATAATAGAAATGAAAAACAAAAACAGGAAGCAGAAAATTATCTCAAAAGTAATTTTAAACTTAGAATTTTATCTTCTTTAGTAACTAAATTTATGTACAGTAAAAGTATCTAATTCAATAATTGGAGAATCATTGTTATTAATTTATATTAAAGCAGATTATTTTTTTAAAAATCTTAAACATCATGTATAACTTAGTTTTTAAATTTTTTGTTTATTTTATACTTATATATGAATATTATTCATTTGCAATTCCTTAAGTTTTAAATTTATATATGTTTTATACACTCTTTTTACTCTGTGGGCATTTGTATAATGCACATCCTTGAGCATCTAGCTGGTGCATTGGCAAAGTGATATGGCCCAGATCACTCATGAAAAATTGAGAATTCAATCTACATTTTTCAGAATAGCAGATAGTCAATTTTTTTCCATTTCAGCCATCCAAATCAGCTGAGTTTATAATTCAGTTTCATGTAAATATTTTATTTATTAATTAATATAAATTTATAAGGATTTAGTTTTGATGAATAATTCCATAGAATCACAAAAAATAAAGTAATTTTAATAAAAGTTTTAATAGTTATTGATTTAATAATATCATTTTTTATAAAAAACATTTATAATATTTGCTCTCTGTCTGTGCAATCAATTTTTAATTTTAATTATTTTATATAAAATTTATTTATTTTCTAATAAGTTATTTCATAGTATTTTTTAAGTTACCTGACTTTTATTTATTAAATTTAATCTTCTACATAAACAAACTATGATTATTTATTATTCTGAATTTAATTAAAACTTGTTTCATATAATCATCATCTACTTACTCTGGTAACTTTCACATAATGCTTCTCTGTTAATAAAGTTGTTTTTGATGAACTCTCCATCAAAAATAACTTACTTGAATAATGTATGGTGAATAAGATGCAAATAAGTTTTCAAAGAAGTCAAACTATTTTAATATTCCAAATGTTAAATATAAAATAAATGTAAATGTTAGAAATATCTGAGAAAAATATATGTATTAAGCTAATATTGAAGAAAATGACAAATGATATTTTGATTTTTACTGACAAATAAATATGGAGTATTGATTAAAAATAAGTGAATAACACAAAAGATAAAATATTGAAATAGTGGACTTATTCAGATGTAATGAATTTTGCGATCTAGTGTAGATAAGTAGTATCTATAAATCTGACAATCAAATACAATTGGAATGGTCACAACTGAATATGACCTTGTAAACAATATTGTTAGGTTGATATATGATTTAATCAAAAATAATGTATAGTTAAATATTAATAAATGATAATAGTTTAATTTTATTAAACAAAAAGTTTTCATACAAAAGTTAGTTTTATAATGTGATTCTAAAGCAATAGCATACATTAAGATAGCATAATATAACAGCTATTTCTTACTGAATTAAAACTATAGTATACTTTATTTTTCTGCTGTTCTAGTATTGTTTTTGCACATATATTTTTTTCCTAAAGAGTAAATAATATATTTCTCAAGAAGAAAGTGTAATTTCTGTTATTTTTTTCTTTATCAGTTTTTTTTAATTTTTCTGAATAAATATTCCTTTAAAGAAAAGTGAAAGAAATTGTTAATAGAATATTTTATTTATCATATTTGTTTCTTCTGATATTTCAATACTTCTCCAATCTCTTTCAAGCTTTTTCTTACAGCAGACATAACTTGAAATATGTTATAAATAAATTTATGATAAATACTTAATAATACTTTAATTATTAATCATTTCAAAATATATAATTATATTAACTTATTAACATTATTACATTTAATAAATAGTAGAAGGTTTAGTTTTACCAAAGCATGTTTGACCAAAATATTAAGTAATAAAAATTTTAAAACAACATTTAAATACCGACTTAGATTTAGTAGCTTCACTTTATCATTAATTCAACTAAAGTATTTGTATTAAAAAGAAAATAACATCAGTTGTTTTGATATTAAATTGTGTAAACAATAAGTTTTTATTTAAATATATATTAAATAAAATAAGATGATTTTTTTTTCTTGTTTGATTAAAATATGCCATATGAGTTTTGAAAAATAATTTCTTTGTTGAATTTAGGATTCAGAATTGGCCTTGTTCCATGAAGTTACTCATTTGCAAGAGATAGTTGATGCCTTGACAAAACTAACTGAAGATCCTCAGTCACTTCCTTCAGCAAGTGAACAAGTTATTAGTGATATAAAAGGATCTGATAGTGGATGGTCATTCCATGTAAGTATTTATTGAATAAGTTATTATTTATACAAATTATTAAATATTTTATGTTTGGTAAGCTATGAATTGATAACTTCTCTTCTCATTTAACCATTCTCTTCAGTTTAAATTTTTAAAGTTTAGATTGCAGAGATTTATGTCTATTTTTAAGTCTGTCTATTTTTATGTCATTGAAGAAGCTGAAAATAAATTTTAAATTTTATTTCAACTGAAATAGTAATTGAATCACTTTTAATATTTTGATTAATTTAGTAAATAAAAAGATTATAATTTTAGTATTTTACTAAATTCTTGAAGCTTATGAAAATATTTTTGAAAACAAATTATTAAAATTTTCATAGAGGTATGACAATTTTAAAATTTAATTTCCTCCTAATCAGTATAGTTTAATGCATTCATTTTAGCTGATGATCAATTTTTCTTTTCAATAGACACCTCCAAGTTCACCAACTTCTCTTGGATCAAGAAAATCAAGTATGTGCAGTATTAGCAGTTTAAATAGTTCATCTAGTGGCAGTACTAAATCACATTCTCCATCTCATCACTCACGTTGTCGTTCTCTTTCTCAGGTGATTTTTATCATTTTGTAATTATTATTTATAGTTTTATTTTTTTTGGCTGTTGTTGTAAATAATAATCAATTTGAATTCTTTTATTTGATTATTCAAAGTTTTCTTATATGTATAATTTATTTTTTGTATAGTGATTCCATGTGTAAAACAAAAGGTTTTTACTAATTGAATTTGGATTTTATCTTGGCAATTAACTTAAAACTATATAAAATCAAGTGTATTTTATATAATTTGCATAATCTCCAATAGAACTTAATAATTTGACAATTAAAATTAGTAATATTCATTGTTTTACTTTTCAATTTTCTACACTTAAATGTTAAATTGTAAAATTTAAAAAAAAAACAAATTTTATGGTATCAATGATATTTTTTCACAATGATTATTCATACTTGGAATAATTTAATGTTATGTTAAGTATATTAAAAATTTTATGCTAATTTAAATAAATAAAAATAAATTTGAATGAAACTATTATAGCTATTTATCTGAGTTTTAGCAAGTATATAATTAAATAATGTCATGTTTTTAATTGTGATAAATTTTAGAAACATAATGTTTAATAACAGTTTCTCTCTAAATTATAAGTTTAAGAATCATTGTGATAATTATTAGAATTTTATTTTAATAATATGACTAGGTTGGTCTATGCACCATCCAAAGAATGTTTAGGGGACTACTTACAAGAGAATACATGTAAGAGCACTGAGTGCACCTTACATTTATTCTTTTGTATGTTGTAGCACACAAAGTATAATCAAAAAATGTATGCATTGGACTTGCATGTATTTGGTATTGGGTTGCCTTTGTGATGATAATGCAAGCTTTCTTACTCTTATTTTATTTCATAAAGGGTGTTTGAAAATAAGATTTGTAATTGCCATATTGAATTTATAGCAGCTGTAACGATACAACATTATTGCTTTTGTTCAGTTAATATGAACATACTCAGAAAAATGTGAAAAATTACAATAATATGTTAATGTCTTTGGTATAGTAATGAATAATGGGCTTAAGTGAAAATGAGACAAAAAAGTCATAATTATGTAGTCATTTAACAGCTTTTTATTATTTTTATTTGTATAGTCACATCAAAATCACACAAGAATGTTGAATATCAATATTAGATATATTCTTTAGGACCAATACATTATTATAAATAGTTTCTATAATAAATACTTTATTTTCATTGATAGCAACCTCCAGCGGGTGCCTTACGTCTTTCCAGTGTCTCATCTCAAGATTCTGGCTTCACTTCACAAGACACATTGTGCATACGTTTACCAACTCCACCACCAATGGAACTAACTAATCAGGTATAAAGTAAATATAAAAGCATAGAAATTAACATGCCTTCAAGTAAATACTATATTTCATTTTTTAAATTTTAAGGTTCCAAATCTTTCTGAGTTTAATAGCAATGCTACTGGAGTCGTAAGCACAACAGGTACTCCAGCATCACCTTATCCTCCTGCACCATGTGTTACTGCTACTTGGCCAAATCTTCAGGATACTCTACAGTTTGAAAGGGCAGCTGCTTCCATTTTAAAAAGTCAAAGACCACATACTATTTCTTCTGGTGATTATTGTTAATAATTAAAAATGTTATAACTTCTAAATAATTTTAATAATAAAAGAAAAACTTTTTCCTGACAATAATAATAATAATAATTTTATTTACCAAGTGCTTTTGTAAGTTAATTAAGGAATTAACTGGGAAGTTCTTTCAGAATCATAATTTTTTATGCTTAAAAATATAGTTTGAGTATTTGATAAATATAATAAAAATATAAATCTTTAGTAGTTATTATTCTTTTTAGATAATTATTTTATATGTATATATATGTATGTCTTGTAGCTTATGAACGTGCAGGACATAATAGACCAGCACTCACAGCTCAGACATTCCAGCCACTTAATCAAGAACTTCAGCAAGGCCCAAGTGGAATGGTTGAAACTTCTGACAATCTGACTTCCACATCTGAAGATAGTTCCTTTGAACATTCTCCTGAAGATGACCAGGAACACGATGATTCTGACAATATGATTGCTCCAAACAGAGATTTACCACCAATTCCGACAAACCCTCCATTGCCAGATAGGTAACTTAAAAGAAGCTTAATGATTCTTAAGTTGACTATTGTAAAAACATAGTTTAATTTACTTAAAAAATTTTCTTTATCTTCATAAAGGAATATGGAGCCAGACAAACCAAATTTACCAGAGAAACCTCAGTTTATCAAATCGAGATATTCTAAGGGAATCTCTCATCTCGAATCATTTGTGGCCGACATAAGTAAAGCTATTGTAATGTCAGGTAATATATAATTTAGAAAATAAAATTTAAAAAGTAATTTTTATTATAAATTTCACGTATTGGAATTTATCTGCAGATGATCCACCAGTTTATGCAAATCTGAATGAACTAATACCTACGAGTTCAGTAGCTGATTCGTTTCCTCCCCCTCCTGTTTTGTCAAGTGAAGATGTGTATGATAAAGTAATACAAATAATTTGTTTTAACAGTTTACAGTACTAACATAAGTTGAAATTTCCTGCATTATTATATTTATGACTATTTAAAAATAATTATTTGATTTAAAAATTAAATTGAATATAATTTTAAAAAATATATATTTGTGAAACAATGATTATAGGAGCATAAACTAATTTTTATTATACAGAGACATACTGTAAGTAAACAGACACCCTTATTTTCAGACACTGTCTTTTATTTCACAGTATCATATGATACAAATGCACTTAGAATATTAAAAGTACAAAAATGTAATCCAGTCAGGCTTGGAATTAATGAGTTTTGTTACCCTCACTTGTAGAGTGTTGGCCCACTCAGCATGCAGTCTAAAAATTCTCCGTAGAAAGTTGGTTTTCACTGCACGATCCAGCAGATTCCAGACATGTTCAACAGGATTTACGTTGGGTGGGTGACAGGCCGATGGAAGCTTGCAGATGTCTTGTGTTTTTGGCAGTGTGACAATGAGCTCCATTGTTTGTGAACAGAGTGGATGTTTTGTTCATCAGCCCACTGGAGATTATTGGAAGACTACTCTTCAATATGGCAATGTATTTATTGGTATAAATATTGTCTCATGCATTTGCTGACGTTTAGAGTGTCTGTTTACTAATGGGTTGTCTCCGTATATTATTTTGTCTCTGTATACAGTCTAATAATTATTTATTTTTAAATGCTTATATCTGTTTTAAAAAATATAATACAATTAAAACTACTTCTAAACTTTTGTAAAATGTAATATTTATTTTCTTTAACTGATTATTAATTAAATAAGTATAAGAAGAAAATAATTGTTTTATCCTCTTAATTTTGCATGTTTTTAATTGCTAATAATTAATTACACATTAGATATTTACATAAGAAATTTTTTGAATAACGTTGATAAAATTTATATGATTTTTATCAAAATTATTCAAAATATATTATTCATACTATTTTTATTTACTTTCTTTACTCTCTTACATTATTATATTTCATAAAATTTAATTTGGTAGAAAAAAAAATGAATATCAAAAAATATAAACATAAATTTAAAATAAGGAATTTTAAGCCAAGATATTTTAAAATATGAATTATTTCAGGATATTTTAGTTTAATTTTAGTAATTATTGTAAATTGTAATTATAGATAAGTTATTCGTAGGAGATTAATGCTTTTAGTTTAACATAGTTTTTACTTAATCTATGTTTAAGATCTCATTATGGTATGAAATTTTATTTTTCAGAAAGATGAAAAACATTTTTCTTAAGCTCTTAGTTACATTATTTATAGATAAAATTATTTTAAGAAAAATTTTCTAAAGGCAAAACATTTTCAATATAATTCTAATTTTATAATTTTATTGGAAAAGGAATTAGAGCATAAAAATGACATAGCAACAGAAAAAAATTGTTGCTACGTAATATAGTGTCTCGTCTGTTTGTGTTGTTTTTAATGCATAAACAGCCACGGACGACAGAAATAAATTGAACAGATGCAACTTTATCTATAGAAAAAGGGAAAGTGAATCTATATAATTTTTAGCTTTATATCCAAAATATATTTCATAAATAACAAAACAAAAAGATTGTGAGTTATAACAAATGAATTTGAAATAATTGGTTGATAAAAATATGAAAAATTTAAAAATGAGGTGCAGTAATTTTAAAGCATTTGGCTGGAAAATTCTTTATTTTTAACTTAAAATCTTAGAATATTTTTTGACACTAATAAAGTATTTTGAAACAGATTAAAAAATTTTTTTTAAATTTAATTTTTAGTTTTATATTCTGTAACAGTCAGGAAAGTAACATAGGAAAAATATGGTAATTGGTCAAATTTTGACCCCCTCGGTTGTTTTGTATTTCTTGATGCTTTGACACTCAAGGAGCACAAAAATGTAAAAAAAAATCCCTTACAAAATTGTGTATTGGCATCTATTATGCATTATATCTCAGGACTGGATGAATGAAAATTTCTGAAACTTAGCAGGATTATTTCTATTTACAAGGCATTGATGCTTTTAAATTTTGGTGATTAAAGGTCATAGGGATGGGGAGATAGAGTGGGGTCATATGTCATATCTCAAGTGGTATTAGACTTAAATGCCAATAATGAGTAAAATTTTCATTACAATTTTTTTAAAATCTCTGCCTCAAAATTAAGCCTTTTGCATTTTTATAATAATATAAAAATTATTTTAATATAAAATCTCATAACAGATAGCACCACACACAATTTTTTGTAATCTTAATGTATCTTAATGTCTGTTAATGTATCTTAGCATTTTTTAAACTTAAATATTCTTTTAAATAGAAAAAGTTTTCATAATTGAACAGAATTACTCCTCTTGAGCTTTTGTTGTTGTTTAAATTTTATATCACAGTACAATTGAAAATTATTGGACTTCCTTTCTGGTCCACTTAACCTCCTGTTTGATTGCTGGGAAAGTTGGAGCAAGAACCTTTGACAGCTTTTTAAATTTGTTTTGTAATTGTTTTAAAAGTTCAGGTGTTTTTATCATTTTGGATTGGAATTTTTTCAATAATGTTAGTTGAAAAATATTTAAATTATATCTTTAAGATGGTGTTCAACCTTTCTCTAACAGTGGCACCCCTACTTCTTTATCAGTGTACAGTTACTGTGATTTTCATAATTTCAGTAATTCTTGTATGAAGTGTTATGGTGCTCAGCACTATATTTTGTGACACCCCTAAAGTGTCATTGAGGCACCTAATATGCTATGCATCCTGGTTAAAAACTGCTGATTTGATGAAGTAATGATTAATAAAGGAAAATAAACAATAAATATCATAATACATATTAATGCCGTATCTTATATAAATTTTTGTCATACAAAAATATTTGCATAGGTGGAACGATTATAAAATTATAGCATCACTGATAATTCCTCACACAAATTCCATAAATTGTTAAATACAATTGCTAGAGATTTTAAAAAATTATGATGAATTGATGCCTGAACTATATCAATTTATACTTTGATTTTTATTGTACTTAAAATGAACTTTTAAAAACTTATTTTTTCATAATTAAAGTATATTTGTAAACCAATTAAACAATTTCATTCTGATATGCTTTTAGGTTACAAAATTAAACAGTATTATTTATGTAATTTCATTGCTTAGAGCCAACTACTTTTGCAATTTGCTTTTGAATGTACTACAGTAGAGCATCGATTATCCGACCCCCGATTAACCGTCACATCGGTTAACCGACCATTCTAGTTGGCAAATTTTAAATGTCCACTAGTGATGTGACATTACAATATTTGGCTATGTCTTGGCTAGTTTAATATTATTTTTGTTAAATTTTTGTGTGCTTTAGCTGGCATCAACGGCTCGACCATTGAAGGGAGACTAGTATTTAAACAAAACTTAATTTTCTAATTATGAGTGGTTATTTGTTTCGTGAGCAATAAAATAATTTAAAAATAATTTTTAACGATATAATAGTGACGATTATTATTTTTAAAAAGTTTGTTAGTCTGAAAATCGATGAAAATTCAATGCGAAGTTGGTTAATAGCGATATACTAAAAAACTAATTACATGGGATATACTAATATCCTAATATACTATACTAATAATGTATTTTTTCCCTTCTTTTCGATTATCCGATCAACCTGAGTCCCCAATTGAGTCGGATAATCGATGCTCTACTGTATTTTTGTTTGTCTATTAGTTGGTCTCTAGGCAATCCTGCTAGTCTTAAAGTTCAATTAATCATAATACCAAGTTAAAATGGTATTTATTCAATTTTGTAATTACTGTAATCTGTCTAATTAAGTGGAATTTGTAATCTTGGTAAGTGTGTGAATAACTGTTATACAGTGGTACCTCAGGATACGAACGCCCNAAAAAATGAATATCAAAAAATATAAACATAAATTTAAAATAAGGAATTTTAAGCCAAGATATTTTAAAATATGAATTATTTCAGGATATTTTAGTTTAATTTTAGTAATTATTGTAAATTGTAATTATAGATAAGTTATTCGTAGGAGATTAATGCTTTTAGTTTAACATAGTTTTTACTTAATCTATGTTTAAGATCTCATTATGGTATGAAATTTTATTTTTCAGAAAGATGAAAAACATTTTTCTTAAGCTCTTAGTTACATTATTTATAGATAAAATTATTTTAAGAAAAATTTTCTAAAGGCAAAACATTTTCAATGTAATTCTAATTTTATAATTTTATTGGAAAAGGAATTAGAGCATAAAAATGACATAGCAACAGAAAAAAATTGTTGCTACGTAATATAGTGTCTCGTCTGTTTGTGTTGTTTTTAATGCATAAACAGCCACGGACGACAGAAATAAATTGAACAGATGCAACTTTATCTATAGAAAAAGGGAGAGTGAATCTATATAATTTTTAGCTTTATATCCAAAATATATTTCATAAATAACAAAACAAAAAGATTGTGAGTTATAACAAATGAATTTGAAATAATTGGTTGATAAAAATATGAAAAATTTAAAAATGAGGTGCAGTAATTTTAAAGCATTTGGCTGGAAAATTCTTTATTTTTAACTTAAAATCTTAGAATATTTTTTGACCAAGCATAACACACCATATTGCTGCAATTTCTCAAGAAACCTATCGGGCTACTGTTGAACATGTGATTGACACAAATGGATTGCACATTGAACAAATGTTGTGAATAAAAACCTTTTGCATGTGTCCATTTTGTGTTTCTTGTTCTTCGTGTACCATTTTTTCACCTAGTGATAGAAATTTGAACTAATTACAGTGGTACCTCAGGTTACGAACGCCCCAGCATACGAAATTTTCAGGATACGACATGAAATTCGAACATATTTTTGCTCCACGATACGAACAAAAACTCACCATACGACGTTACATTAGTTCGCATTTTTCATTTGTTTTTCTTACTACAGTTATTTTTTT